GGGAGCTGGCCCGCGCCGTGGTGCTGGACGAAGGCAGCGCGTCGGTGGCGGAGCTCTCGCCCGACGGCCCCGCTCACCTGCTGCTCGCCGCGCTGCTGCATGAGATGCGCGCGGGATCCACGGCCGTGTGCTTCCTGCGAGGTGAGCCGGCGCCCCGGAACTCCGCGCTCCGCACCCCGCGCGCCCCGCGCCCCGCGCCCCGCGCCCCGGCCTCTTGGCTGACCTTGCCTTTCCTTTCTTGCGCTCCCCGCAGGTGGCTTCGAACGCTTCCAGGCATGCTGTCCAGATCTGTGCTCTGAAGCCTCTGCCCAGGCGCTACCTCCTGCTGGGGCCGAAAATAACAGCTCCGACCCTAGGGCTCCCATCTATGACCAGGTGAGTTGAAATCGGAATTCTTTGTCTTCCTTTTTAGTCCCATTGTCCATACAAGAGGGATGCCTCTGGGGGAAAGCCAGGGTGTGTTTAAGTACACATTGTGTGTGTGTGTGTGCGCACATTGACATGCAAATGATGCGAATGTGTATATGCTCATACGGACTTTAAGGCATGAGTGGCATATGTGTGTCATATGTGTGCCCCCTTGTATCCTCAAGACTTTCAGTTCTGTTCTTGGTCAGAGAACTGGCCTAGAGCTCCTCTAGTATGTAGCCAGCCCATGATGTCTCTGCCCCACTCAGGGCCAAGGCTGAGGTCTCACCAGTGTCCCCTTCCTCCTCCAGGGCGGTCCTGTGGAGATCTTGCCCTACCTGTACCTGGGCAGCTGCAGCCACTCCTCGGACCTCCAGGGGCTTCAGGCCCGCGGTATCACAGCCGTGCTCAATGTCTCTGCCAGCTGCCCCAACCACTTCGAGGGGCTGCTCCATTACAAGAGCATCCCGGTAGAAGATAACCAGATGGTGGAGATTAGTGCCTGGTTCCAGGAGGCTATCGGCTTCATTGGTAAGGGAGCCTCAGCCCAGGGGTCTGGGGGAGCTGTGTGGGGAGCAGCGGGGAGGCCTGTTTCCCCCGTCTGACTCCCCCCTCTCCATTTCCTTCGCAGACTCAGTGAAGAACAGTGGGGGCCGGGTGTTGGTGCACTGCCAAGCTGGTATCTCCCGCTCAGCCACCATCTGCCTGGCATACCTGATTCAGAGCCACCGGGTACGGCTGGACGAGGCCTTTGACTTTGTCAAGCGACGTCGGGGGGTCATCTCCCCCAACTTCAGCTTCATGGGGCAGCTCCTGCAGTTTGAGACTCAGGTGCTGTGCCACTGAGTCAGACCCTGGCCTGGCCCCACCGTGCTGCCTCTCACGGACTCCTGGGGGAAGCTGCTGTGGACTGCTGGCTCTTCTCTAGCCTAGCTCATCCCTCACCTTCTCCTCAAGTTGGGGTGCTAGCAAAGCCAGGGTGATGGCTTTTCTGATATGGTGCTCTTCTGCTGGGGGTCTAAGGGCTGGCCCTTATTCGGGGGACCAGGGCAGATAGTCTATTTGCTCTCCCTCTCCCAACTCTGGCAGAAATTAATTGGACTCTAACCCCCCCCCCCCCTTTATTGTAGTCCCACTATGTTAAAGCCCTTGGTAGCCCAAGGGCTCATGGAACAAGCTGTGACAAGCAGGAACCGTGGGTAGGGGTGTGTAGCCTTGACCCAAAGCTCGAGCCTTGCGCTCCCAGGGGAGCCAGGAAGTGATGTGTGTGTGTGTGTCATGTTACTGACATCTTGCTTTTGTGTAAGTATGCGTGTGTCTCGCCACAGTTGGTGCTGAAAAGTTGTTTGTGTTCAACTGACATGTAACACTTCCTCCCTGACTTCCTCCCAGCCCTGGGGGCCAGGGAGGGGGGCCTTGGAAACAGCACTTTATATTTATATAGAACATTGAGGATGTGTCAATAAAAACAACGTTTTGTTTAAAAAAGAGCAATAACACAAGTGTCTGGTCTCAAGTCCGTACCTGCGATGGCTGAGCAACTGAGTGGTCTTCGCCGTTCTGGCCTGGGGTCTTTCCCACACAGGCTCTGGCTTGTGGTTGAACTGGGAGGGCTCAGGGAGGCAGATTCCAGGACTCAATGCTTTCCCCGATCAGACCCCCTTTCCTTGAGGACCACATTTTCCCAGTGTGTGATGGGCAGGTATGTGTTGACTGAGGGCACTCAGATCATTGTCCGGAACCCAGAACAGAGGGCACTGGCTTCCTGGAGCTGAATGAAGGGTACACAACCTGTCCCTGGGGCCCATTCTCTCTGTCCTGGGGTAAGGCACTCAGGAACTAGGGTTCTTCTCAGCCTTCCTCCAGGACTATACCAGTTTCTATGGGGACCTGCCTGTGCTCTTGATGTCTCTCTAGCTCAGGGTGGGTAAGGGACACCTGGGCCCCAGAGTCTTAAATATCATCATCGCATACATGTCATGACTGGTTGCTGGCTGTCCCACTTCATCTCATTCCTTACCCTCCAGTGTTTCTAACATCTTACCCTTCTAACAAATGGCCTCCCTCCCTCCCTCCCTCCCTTCTTCCTTCCTTCCTTTCATTCATTCATTTGGCTTGCCTGGAACTGGAAATATAGACCAGCTTACTTAATCCACCTTAGTTTACAACATTCTTGTTTGAAAGAAAAACTGCATTTTTGACCAGGTATGAGATTTTCCACCCAAGCAATGGGATGATAATGATGATGATTTTACTAAGCACATTTAACTATGTAGGCCAATATATATATTTGAGACAGGTCTTCACTATGCAGCCCAGGCTAGACTCAATCTGATGGCTATTTCAGACTCAAATTCTGGGATTACAGGTGTGAAGCACCATGACAGCTCAAAAAAAAAATGAGTGTTTAAGGTTGTACATGGGAAGCTTCCACATATATGTGCATTGTGAATGGTTCTTTCAATCAAGCTAATTGGCACTCACATCTGATGCATTGAAACCAGTCAACACCTTGCTCAGGCATCAGCAGCATCTGCCTTTATATCCCCTCTCCTTGTGGCTCTGACTTCTATTTTTTGAGAAATGCTGGCCCCAGGTTCAGCAGGAAGACTGGCAGGCTCTTGTGGTCCACAACTGATGCCCTTGGCTCTGGCTTTCCTTCACTGGGCCCTGGGGTGGATTGGTTGGTGTGCTCCAGGCTGTCGATCCAGGTGGGATCTCTGCGTGAGGGTGTAACCAATAGGAAGAGAGTTGAGGAGCTTTGCATTTTGAATTAGTAAAGTGGGAAGGGGCCCCAGCTGATCATGCCAGGGGGCCATGACATTGTAAGGACTACATCCATGTGAGGGTCTGAGTGTCTGTCTGTGTGTGGTGACACCCTCCCACCCCACCCCCACCCCATGCCATGGCAGGTGTCCCTGGGTGCTGACGATGCTGGGTGTTCAGTGTGAAGTTTCAGAGTCCTGCAAAGATGATGTGCTTTCCTATATGGCTTTTGACACAAAAGCATAGAGCTTGGCATAGCGGAAGGTGGCTTTAATCCTAGCACTCATTAGGCAGAGACAGGTAGTGAGTTTTTGCCAGCTTTCATAGTGACAAGTTCCAGGTCAGCCAAAGCTACATAATGAAAGAAAGAAAGAAAGAAAGAAAGAAAGAAAGAAAGAAAGAAAGAAAGAAAGAAAGAAAGAAAGAAAGAAAGAAAGAAAGAAAGGTAAAGAAAGAGAGAGAGGAAACCTTATACAGGTGTAGTGTCCACACCTGCATCATCAGATACATCGGGGTGGGGAGGGTGCCTGGGTTCTCAGGCAGATTTTCTGTGTCTGAGCCTCCTGGTAGGGAGGGGGTGGGGCAGGAAAAGTGGTCACTTCTAGGGCTGGGGTCTCAGTCCCGCCCATGAACCTTGCTACAATGCTTCTCTGCCCTCTGGTGGCAGGAGGCGATTTCAGGGACACTATGCTGCCAAGTGGTTTTGTGTCCCCCGCCCACTTTTTAACCCATTTCAACCATGATGGGTAGGACTATGGTCTAGAAGGCTCAGGCCTGGGGGAGGGTCCTCAGGTAGGAGTGGGCAGGTCTTCAGGTGGCGGCTGTTGGGAGGTTGTTCATGGAGGTGGTTGGGAGGCTGCAGGTGTGGGCTGGGGAAGCCGCTATTAAAGGGGCGGGTGGTACAGCGCCTGCGCTTAGGATGTCCTTTTTCTGCTGTGGTTCTGTACATTGCTTGCTGAGAGGGCAGTGAGGACCCACCATGGGGAGCGTGGGAGGCCTGTGGTCTTGGATGCTAGCTTTGCTCTCCTTGCCTGGTAAGCTGGCTTCTGCCTCCGGGGCACTGGGGGGAGGCCAGGGGCTGTGCTGTGGCTTAAAATAGTCATAAATGAGACTCACGGCTCCACGTGAAGGTCTCCAGGGGTGTGCCTGGGACACAATGTCCCAGAGGGGACCTCCTAACACCTGTAGGAGGAGAGGGCCCACCTAACCGTAGATTGCCAAGTTCATGGCCACATACCTACTTGTTTTAAGGTAGAGGCTCTGTTCTGGCCTGGCTGGGGCAGCTGTCACTCAAGCTGAGCCTGGGTTGAGCAAAAAGTTGAAGAGAAGGATCTGAGGCTAGCCCTGAACCGGTGCTACCTCAAGATTGAAAGTCCACTCTGCCTCTCTCCTGCCTCTCTTCTGCCTCGTGTGCTGCCCCAGCCACGTGTTAGTCCCTTAAAGGGCTCTCCTTCACTGAAGTCATCTAGACCTTGTTGCTAGGTGGGGCTGAGTGGGAAGCCCAGGCAGGCTTCAGGGATGCATGCTGGGAGGCCTCTCCTGGGAGGGGCTGGGTTTGGCTGCCCAAATCCCTCAGTTTCCCCATGGTCTGCTGTCCTGTCTCGCCAATGGAGCCCTGGGGACATCTATGTGTCTGCACTTGTCTTCCTGGACCAGGTTTGGTCCTAGGAGCACCCTCAGTGCCCAGATGTTCAGGAGTCTGCAGTACCACTGTCCCAGAAGGCTTCACCCCTGAAGGGAGCCAGGACTCTCAGGACAAGGACATCCCGGCAATTAACCAAGGTGAGACTACTGGATCATACTCACAAAAGCCATGCTGAGTGTGAGTGTGCAGGAAAGGTTGAAAAGACATGTTCCCACTTATTCAGGGACTTCTAAATAAGTGCAGGTTCCATGAGGGAATGCTTGTCTTTTTTCTGTTTTTTTTTTTTTTTTCTGGTGAATTATTTTTATTTAAGATTCTCTGTGGGTTTCACATCATGCATCCCGATTCCACTCCTCTGCCCGTCCCCTCACATCCATCCTCTGCCCATGCAACCCTCCCTGCCAAAACAAAACAAAATTTAGAAGAAAAACCCCAAACCAAGCCAACCAAACAACAATAACACCAACAATAGAATCTCGCCATGGAAGCTGTAGTGTGGCCTGTTGAGTTCCACAGTCTACCCCTTAGTCCATTCCTCTTTACTGGTAAGTGTTCATTGCCATGAGTCATTCGCTGGTCTGGTTCGAGGCCTCTGGTTTCTGCTACACCATTGATAATGGGCTCTCTCTGGGGCTCCTCTTGGATATTCTGTTGTCCTGTGTCATGGAGATCCTGCAGTTTTGGATCTGTAGATTCGTTCCCCTTCGCATGTCCCAACAGTTCATAAATACCGGTAAATGCTGAGGTGGGCTGACTCACAGCCCTGGTTCTGGGCCTGGGTGGTAGCTGGACCTGTCAGCCTGCCAGCTTTCCCTCATTGTCACTACCCAATGTATGAGTGAGTTCTAGGACAGCCAAGGCCACACAGTGACACCCTGTCTCGAAAAAAAATCATGGAGAGAAGACAGCAAGCATTGGCTCTTTCTCAGCCTGGGAGTTGAGCGAAATCATCGGTAGATATTTGAGGACATGTCACTCTGTGAGGGACAGTGTACAGGTGTGACCTAGCCGGTAAGGGGTGGAGTATTAAAGAACAAAGAAGCCGGTGGCTCGGGGCTCCTGTCCGGGGATCTCGGACCGTGAAGAACACAGACACGTTGGACTAACGTTAGCGGCAGTGAGGATGAATTCAGATATTAGAGACGTCATGGGCTGAAACGTTGGGGGAGCAGGAGGTAACCTTGGCTTAGGGTAGGTGGTGACCACGGTGTGATCTGCTCCCTTTCTTTGTGAGCTGGTTAAGATGGGCACCGATGCCTACTCAGTCGTCGTCCCCTGGAAGTAGCCAGAACCAAGGGTCTTCCTGGCACTCACTCTCAATGTCATCAGTAGCTGCCACAGCTGCCCCTGCCTAGCTGATGTCTTCTTGGGAAACGCCGCCGTCCCCAGCTGCTGTGAATGACGGCAATGATGGCTGTTAATACCACACAACTGCACCGGGTCCTGGAGCAGCACTTCTCAATCTTCCTAGTGCTGTGACCCTTTAATATAGTTCCCCCTGCTGTGGTGACCCCCAACCATAAAATCATTCTCATTGCTACCTCATAACTGTAACTTTGCTACTGTTATGAATCATAATGTAAATATCTGTGTTTTCCGATGGTCTTAGGTGATCTCTGTGAAAGGGTCGTTCGACTCCCAAAGAAGTCATGACCCGTAGGTTGAGAACCATTGTCCTGGAGAGTGGCCTTTTGTTTTGTTTGTTTTTTGTTTTTCGAGACAGGGTTTCTCTATGTAGTTTTGGTGCCTGTCCTGGATCTCGCTCTGTAGCCCAAGCTGGCCTCGAACTCACAGAGATCCGCCTGGCTCTGCCTCCCGAGTGCTGGGATTAAAGGCGTCGGTGCCAGGAGAGTGGCTTTTTAAATTTAAGGATGCAGCCTTGGTCAGAGATAATCTTGAGGTGACTCCTCTCACCTGAAGAGGACTCAGGGGTGTGACTAGTCTGTCCTCTGAAACTCTGAGATGAGGCAACGCTCCTGCATTCCTCTCAAGCCTTCTGTGGCTTCTGTCAGCGCCTCCTGAGATTTCTCTTCCCAGCAGTCAGCTACAGAAGGCTCCCTGACTAGGAGAGAGATGAGAGGCGGAAGCAAACGGAGACAAAAAAGTATTTACCTTCCTCAACTTCCTTGCGTGGCTATGACTTGTAATTTTGGCTCCTTTACCTCAAGGTCCAGAATGTAACAAGATAATGGGAAGTAGATGGTGAGGGGGCAAGGTGAGGCAGGAGAGACCAGGGCGTGTTCTGGGGAGTGTGGCTCGGGCTGGAGTGAGCCTGGATGGAAGAGGAGGACACATTCTGACAGCAGAGGGTTTGGAGTTGGGACTGGATCATGAGTCCTGAGGGAGCTGTGGGCTGTGTTCCAGCAGGGGAAGGATACTGAGGCTGAGAAGCTTCACACACATCTGCAGGGGGGGGACTCAACAGGGCCATTGTTGGACTTCTCCAAAGTCACATGCCTTGGTGCTCAAGGAAGCTTAGCTCCAAAGTGGAAGGCATAGACGCCAGCAGAGCTGGGCCCGTCCCAGCCTGTGTTCTGGAAGCCACGGGTGACACACATCCCTTCCCCCTTTCCCTCCCAGGGCTCATCTCAGAGGAGACCCCAGAAAGCAGCTTCCTGGTCGAAGGGGACATCATCCGGCCGGTGAGTTGTACACATGTGGTATGGGCATCCGTGAAGCTGTGAGGGAACTCAGAACCCTCTTCTAGGGGTCCGGAGTGCTTTGGTTTGTATGGCTGGTTAGGTACAACTGTCAAGGTCATCGTGATGGTAACGGTGACAGCTGAAATGACAACCTAGTCAGCCCAAGCGGGCTCCTTGGCAGCGGGGAGTCAAGCTCTCAGACCCCACTTGACACCCTGCCCAGGGGGAAGGCGTAGAAAGCCCAAGGCTGGAGAGCCCAGATGGACTTGTACATGTGTGAGATCTGTCAAGATCCCTAGGGAAGCCAGAACAAGGAGAAACCTGGAGAGGTCATCTTGGCTAGGGATGGAGGGCTGAGACTGAAAGGAGGAGGCCGAGGGGCACTGAAGTGGCTTGTTGCAGAGAGGACACATTGTTTAGGAGAGGTGGTGCCGCCCTGTAGAGGGCAGAAGGCTGCTGAATGGCGGTGAGCAGTGGGAAGGAAGACTGTTTCACAGCTTGTTCAGAGGTGACGCATGGCCTGAGGCCTGGCACCCTGAGGAGTAGGATGCTTAGGTGGCCCGGGTCCTCCATTAACTCTGAGCTGCCCCCTCTCCTCAGAGCCCCTTCCGATTGCTGTCAGTGACCAACAATAAATGGCCCAAGGGCACTGATGGCATTGTGGAGATCCCCTTCCTGCTCTCTAGCAAGTATGGTGAGTAAGAAAGCTGAGGTGGGGCTTCCCGCCCCTCCCCTGCATGCAGCAGGGTTCCTGCAGGGGGCATCCTTCCTTCTGAGGCACCACACCCCCTCCTACAGAGTGCTGTGCAGAGCTCCTATCCCCAGGGCATGCTGAAGTGTGTGTGTGTGTGTGTGTGTCTGTGTGTGTGTGTCTGTGTGTCGTCTGTGTGTGTGTCTGTGTGGTGTCTGTGGTCACACAGCTCAGGCCTTCCTGTCAACATTGTCCCCTCTGAACACTGTTTTGGAAGGTGGACTTAATGTTTGGTCTCAGCCCCCGTGCAGACTTCAAAGGTCCTCAAGAGCTATGGGACCTCCATGGGGGTCAGCCATGGTGTGTCTTTCCCAGATGAGTCCAGCCGCCGGGTGATTCTGGAGGCCTTCGCTGAGTTTGAGCGTTTCACATGCATCCGGTTTGTCCCCTACCAGGGCCACAGAGACTTCATTTCCATCCTCCCTATGTCAGGGTAAGTGCTCCTGGGCTGTGGGCGTGTGTCTTCTCTGTTCTTCCCTTAGTATGCACGAGCGGCATTAAGCCTATTTCTGGGCCTCAACCCAGGCTGCCCTGAATGGTTCATTCATGGCCTGGACCTTCGGGGCCAAAGGTGGGTGAGGGAAGACCACGGGACACAGGGCCCTCCCCTACAAAGCCCTCATCCCCTGGAGATCTTGTAGTATGAGTCTGGGGAAATGTTGGGGTCCTAGGTCTACCATTCATGTGTCAACCTGAGTGAGTCCAGGGGATCCCTAATTTCGCCTCTGCCTTCTTTCCGAGGTGTAGGGGTAGTGGTAATACCTATATCCTACTTTTACTGGAGCCTGTCGTGGTGTGGATGGAAGCCGTGACTCAGGCTTATGACATAGGTCTGCTCACATAATGACCTGCTCTACTGTGCATGAATGTCAGGTCCCACCTTTTGGCAGCTCAGGTGGTAATAAAACTCCATGTGACACCCTCTTCACACAGGCCAAGCAGTCAAGGGACCCGGGGAATGGGACAGTAAGTCTGAGCTAGAGTCCAGGATAGGGACTGGCAGTCTGATACTAGTCCAGCCTGGGTCCTAAAGCACAGCAAATATCTGTTCCGCTCTGACCTTTCTAGGCCGATACCCGGCTAGCTCACGGCCAAGCTCTTCCCTCTCCTGGTCTTGCAGGTGCTTCTCTGGTGTGGGACGCAGTGGAGGGATGCAGGTGGTGTCCCTGGCACCCACTTGTCTCCAGAAGGGCCGGGGCATTGTCCTGCACGAGCTCATGCACGTGCTTGGCTTCTGGCATGAGCATTCACGGGCAGACCGCGACCGCTACATCCGCGTCAACTGGAATGAGATCCTCCCAGGTAAGTCAGCTGGTGGCCGGGATAGGCTGGACCCAGGGGACCCCGAGGGACAGAGGCCTCAGGCCAGGGCTGGAGCTGAGAGGAGTTGCTACCTCTCCCGGAAGAGTCCATCCCCCACACTGTCTATCTCTCTGGTATTTGAGAGTGGTCCTGTGGCTGCTGCTCTGGGCCTCTACATTTGTACCCAAGGAAGGCCACCGACCATTTGCTTTGTCTCACTCCTCTCTGCCCGTCAGTCATCTGAATGTGAGGTTGGCAGTGTCCTGTGACTCTTGCTCACTGAGTACTCAGCAGTCCCCCATGTCGTAGATGTTAGTGTGTGATGTTGGGGTAAGGGCTACATGTCAGGTTGGGGACACTGAGCCAAGAGAGAGATGGAGGGAGTAGCCCCAGATACATGGTCCAGCCAAGGAGGTAACACTGAAAGGCCGAGGTGGGCATCAGATGGGCATCAGTGGGCTTGTGGCTGAGAATGCCCTGGAAGTGGCAGAGCCGAGGCTGACAGGGGGTGGGGTGGGGTGGGTGGGTTCTGATGCCAGGGGCAGTGTGTGTGCTTGTGCTGGGCATGGTGTGGGGATCAGATGCGGGAATGTGGGCTGCCTGTGTGGGGGGCTCGGAGCTCAGTGGTGAGAACGGCGGCTGCCTTGGGCAGGAGGGCAGCTGTGGAAGGCAAGGCCCACAGTGCACTTAGGGGGGCCGAGGAGTCGGAGCCTCCTGCCAGTGGGAACCTGGAGGGGCCTCTGCTGCTGCTCTGGGATTGGCCAGGTGAAAAGCGGGACACTTGCCCCAGAGAAGGTGCTTTGGAGGTAACTGGGTAGCTAATGACAAAGGGGTGGGGACTGGGGAGGTGGGGCTGGGGTGACCGTGATCTTTCCAGGTGCTCTGCTTAGAAGCACTCGGCTTGTAAGGCTGTGAGAAACTCTAGATCTGAAAACTCAGGTCAGTGCAAAGATCATGACATAAAGCTGAAAACAATAACTGACCAACCCCCCAGACTGCTCTCCTTAGGAAAGAGCCAAATACTTTTAGTTCTGGAGGTTAAAAGAACTTCAGGGGGTCTCAAAAATAAATAATAAATAAAAGGAAAAGCATGTAATCCTAGCACTCCAGAGCCCGAGGCAAAGGATTCTGAGTGTGAGACTAGGCGGGGCTAGATGGACTCTGCCTTTAAATAAACAATCATAAAACACTATTTTAAAACCCATGGTCTCTGGCTAAGGGTAGGCTCAGGGAAAGCACAGAGGCATCAATATTTATATCCATAAAAGCAAAGAGAACAAATAAATTAAGTGTGCCCATTTAAGTTTTAAAAAAAAAAACAACTAGGAGAATTAATTAAGGTAAAAGCATAAGTTAGGGTTAGAAAATGCACACGTTCCCTGGAGCTGTTCTAACAGATTGCCTGAAAACCAAACTACCTACCTAGGGCTCGGGAATGTAGCAAGGCGGTACGGCACTTGTTTGGGTTGTAACTGGCTGTTCCGTCCCTAGAGCCGACGAGTTTTAGATCGGCTATTTTAATGGGGAAAATCTGGTTCACTCAGAGATAGAAAAGGGAGAATATGTTTGCATCAATGGGCATAAGCTCTGCCGGGCATAAAAACTAATCACAGTGATTAACCTCTGTGGGGATTGAGAGGCTCAGAGGAGGTGGGTGGGGTAGGAGACTCTCGCTAGTGTCTTTAACGTTAATGTACATTCTCTTCAGTATATATGCATTGTATTTCCGTGCTGCTGGGGAAATAGCCCAGGGCTTTGTGCATGCTAGACACTGACATTTTTGTTTGTTTCCTTAAGATAGGGTCTCACTATGTAGCTTTGGCTGTCCTGGAACTCGCTATGGTAGACCAGGCTGGCCTCAGACTCAGAAATCCTCCTACCTCTGTCTCCCAAGGGATGGCATTAAAGGTGTGCACTTCTTTTTTTTTTTTTTTTAAAGATTTTTTTCATTTATTTATTTATTTATTTATTTATTTAATTATTATGCATGCACTCACCAGAAGAGGGCACCAGATTTCGTTATAGATGGTTGTGAGCCACCCATGTGATTGCTGGGAATTGAACTCAGGTCCTCAGGAAGAGCAGCCAGTGCTCTTAACCTCTGAGCCATCTCTCCGGCCCAAAGGTGTGCACTTCTATGTCCAGCTAGATACTTGGGTTTTGAGTTAGAGGAATATGTTGCCTGTTTAAAATTATGTTAACTAACAAAGGCTCTTTGAGGAGAAGAAATTGGCATTCCTTGGGGCTCTGATCAGGGTAAGAAGGCTGCTGGTGACTTTGGAAGAAGAGTGTGTGGACACATCCTGCTGGGTCTGGAGAGAGGGATTGGGGAACAAAGGTGTAAGGAATGGCAGCCCTTTCAGGAGTGGTCAGCGACCTCCCCTCCCTCACTGGCCTGGAGGGGGGCAGAGGGCATTCTGACCAACCAAGATGACTGGACTGCTGGGCTCCACCTCTGCAGCTTTGTGGTCTAAGCTGGGGAGATGAAGGTGATCTGGCTACCGAGGGCTCAGGCACCACAATCCTGAGTAGAGAGGACAGCATGCCTTTGAAGCTAGCTCAAGGAGTAGGCGGGGTACCAGTGTCAAAGGCCCAGCAGCCACAGCTTTGTGGGGCTGCACATTTGCAGAGATCCGTGTCATGCAAAGTGAGTTGGGAAGGAGGAAGAGAGAGCTTGTAGGAGGTCATGGTTGCCCGGCCACAAGTCACCTCCTGCTTCCACATCACCTGGTATAGGTCTGGATTCCTTCCAGGGTCAGGTAGAGTAGGGTAGCAAAGGTGTGCCAAGCGCAGGGACCAGCCCGGAAAGAAGGCTCAGCAGGGTAGTCGGACTCTTCGCTTATGTGGGTTGTGACATCCCAGAAGCTGCCCGCTTCTCTCCCTGTCTATCCTTACCTGCCTGTCTTCCTTTTATATATCCACAAAAGTGTGCATGTCTGTGCTTTTAAGGCTTTGAAATCAACTTCCTCAAGTCTCGGAGTAGCAATATGTTAGCACCCTATGACTACTCGTCAGTGATGCATTATGGGAGGTGAGCACCCTCCCTTCACCCCTCCCCTTGCACCTTTTCCCTGCCCCCCTCCCCATAGGCCCCTCCCCTGACCCCCATTCCCCCTCCCTCAGCCCCCCCACCTTGCATTACCCTCCTAGCTAGCCCCCACTACTGTGATCCTGACATAGGCCCCACCCCTGGGTTCCAGGTTTGCCTTCAGCTGGCGTGGGCAGCCCACCATCATACCACTCTGGACCCCCACTGTCCACATCGGCCAGCGATGGAACCTGAGCACCTCGGATATCACCCGGGTCCGCAGGCTGTACAACTGCAGCCGCCACAGTGTCCCTGACGCCCACGGGAGAGGTAAGCCACAAGGGAGGGTGGCTTGAGCTAGGGACCGGTGCTGAAGTGTGAGGGTAAAGCAATGGTGAGGAGGTGAGAGAGCGTCAGTCACCAGACTCCTCACAACTGGATTTGGAAACACACTGGAAAAGAGTTCATACCCACTAATGACTAAAACCCCTTAGCAAAGAGAAATAACCCAGACAACAGGCACCTACCAAAACTTAGAGTAGAAGGAACTTTTAATGACAAAATGTTAAATCTAGGACCAAGGTAAGTTTTCCCCGCTCTCATCCATCCATGCAGTGTTGAAATGGAGGTCTTAACCATTGCACCAAGGCAAGGGGAAGACACAAAGTTCTGGTGTTTGGAAAGGAAGCAAAAAAAAAAAAAAACTACTCATAGATTAGTTTAGAAAAGAAGCAGAAACTGTATACAAATGTATAAATACCTGTATACATTCTGAATATAGGGCATATAAAGTAGCTTTGTGTAAGTGCATGGGATGGGTGCAGAGATATGTGTCTGTGGGAGCAGAGTGCAAGGTTCTGAAAGGGATCCTATTCAGAAGTGAAACCTAGTGGCGTGGTGGTGCCCACCTTCAGTCCGGTCCCAGCACTGGAGAGGCAGAGGCAGGGGTGGATCTCTGACTTGGAGACTAGTCTGGTCTACGTAGTGAGTTCCAGGACAGTCAGAGCTGCATAGTGAGACCTCGTCTCAAAAAAAAATCAAATGTGAGCCCTCCAAAGGGCGACCTTGATTATGAAAGAAAGGATGGCTAGTGGTTCTCAGCCTGTGGGTCATGACCCCCTTGGGGTTGAATGACCCTTTCAGATATTTACATTACAATTCACAACAGTAGCAAAATTATAGTTATAAAATATAGCAATGAAGTAATTTTATGGTTGGGGTCACCACAACATGAACTGTATTGCAGAGTCGCAGCATTAGGAAGGTTGAGAACCATTGCCCTAGATGGTTCTGAGACAACCAGGTATCTAGGTGTCTACCATTACACTCCTTGGGCATAGGAGACTTTATGTGCATGGAGTTAAAAAGTTTAGCAAGAAACATAGCAAGATGTCTTTATAACATTAGGATGGGAAAGAATTTCTTCACAAATAACCCTAATGCTACAAAGATTAATAAATTCAGTAACACCAACCATAATATCAAGAGGTTCCACAAGCAAATCTAAAATAAAAGTTGGAAAGTGGAGATGCTTCTGAACTAGTAGCTGGTGTTGTTCTGAATTCAGAAAGAGCTATGAACAGAGAGTCAAAATACCAGATAGAAAAATGTGTGAAGTGGTTAACAGGCATCTCGGAAGAAACCAAATGAGAAGTCCACAATCTGCGATAACTGATCATACCAAATACTGCTAAAGGGTATGGGGCAAAGGGTGGTGTTTGTATCCCACCGACAGGACCACAAATTGCAGTAACCCTCCTGAAGACAGTGTGACACCCTGTGAAGTGGCTGTGCATGCCTGTGACCCAGATTTTATTTTTAGGTCACCCTACACCCGAGTCCCACCCTTTCTTCCCTACCAGCCCCAATTAGTCACTCATCTGCCTTCTGCCTCTGTGGATTTACCTTGTCTAGACATTTCATATAAATGGAGCCACGTGCCTTTTGTGGCTGGCTTGCTGCCCTCGGCATGACCTTTGCTGTTCATCTCTGCTAAAGCACTTACAGCACCCCATCTCATTTCTGTCCAGTGACATTCATATCCTCTTTATTCATCACTCGATGAACGTTTGAGTTGTTCCTGCCGCCGGGCTACTATGAATATACTATGTCAGTCGGTATCTACCCCAGGCATAAGATTGCTGGGCCCCATGGTAACTCCATACTCAGCTGTCTTCCAAAGCAGGTGAACCACTTAAAAACCCCTTTAGCTATACAGGTGGCTACCAACTGTTCTGCAGAATTGTCAAGGCATACGGTCTATGCTTTTGATTATGAGCCTCCCCGTGGATACGGAAGCATCCTTTGTTCTGATTTGCATTTCTCCAGCCATAGCTAGCCTCTAATGAGATGGCTGGTCCTCTGCATACCTTTTAGGTTTGGACCAGTGTCTATACAGATCCTTAACCTTGTTTTCAGCTGCACTGGGTTTTCCTTGCTGAATTATAAAATTTGAAAATATTCTTATTTTGTTTTGTTTTTGGTTTTTATTTATTTATTTTTGAGACAAGGTTTTTCTGTCATCCTGGCTGTCCTGGAACTTTCTTTGTAGACCAGGCTGTTCTCAGACTTAGAGATCTGCCTGCCTCTGCCTTCTGAGTGCTGGAATTAAAGGCATCTTCCTGGCTTTAAAAAATACTCCTAATGAAATATCTTTGTTGGGTATATCATGTGGAAATGTTTCCTCACATTCTGTGTGCTCGGTTTTTGCTTCTTAGATAATAGCATCCTCCCTCCCATAGGGTCTTACTATGCGGTGGTGGCTGGTCTGGAACTCAATATGTAGATCAGGCTGGCTTCAAACTCAGAGATCAGCCTGCCTTTGCCAGTGCTGAGATTAAAAGCATGTGCCACCATGCCCAGCTTAAGTACCATTCTTAATGTCACTTTCCCTGATATATGTGTATATATATATGTATACATACACACATGCATATATATATATTACTTTTAGTACATCAAATATTACATACTTTTTGTTAAAACTAGAGAGAGAGACTGTGGCGAGAGGACTGCAGGTCAGCCTGGAGCAGAGAACGGGGACATGATTAGGAGGGACTGGTCCAAGGGAAGGTTGAACACAGTGGTGGACAGGTTGGCATGTCTGGTGTTGGAATGGTGGGGCACACAGTGGAGAAAGGGGGGCAGGTGCTGGAAGAGAAGGGAGGTTCAGCCAGAACTGAGGGAGCGTCAGCCACTTACGCGGACACAATGGGAAGGAAGACAACAGGAGAGGACCGGAGTCCGTGGGCAGATCTGGAGACGCCATGTGTAGCCGTGGCTCCACCGGGAGGTGAGGCCGCTGGCAGAGCAGTGGGAGGCCCTCGAAGCACAGAGCACCTGAACCTGGGAGGGATGGCAGGACACAGGGTGGTGCTGGGGACTGGGTGTGGCGGGGACTTGTGACCGAGGGAAGGTGGCTGGGGATGTGTCCTAACGGATGACAGCAGCTGAGGTAGGCAACAAAGCTGGTAGAGGGTGGGTAGAGACACTGCTGCTTGTGGTTTCCGGTGCTGATGAGAGAGAGGGCATGAGCTGTGGGACCAGCAGAAGCTGGCAGGAGGAGGGCCGCTGGTTAGAGGAGTCGGCGTGGATCGGTCACTGTACACTGATGGAGGAATGGGAGATCATGGTATGTGAGCAGGAAAGACAGGACCAAGAGGCAGCAGTGGGGTCCACCAGAGCAGATACCAGGGGCCATGAAGCTCAAGGGTTTCCCTCAAGGGAGTGTGTCAGTCATGGTCTGGGTGTGGCCGCAAAGAGAAAGCAAAGAGGGTCTTCTCCTGGCAGTACACAGACCTGAGAACACTCGGGAGCTTCTGATGCCCTCCCTTGGTTTGAACAGGCGTGGTTCCAGAGGATGTTTAAGATGTGGGGATGGGAGGTGGGTGTAGGGTAACCCAAAGAAGGACCTGGTAGGAGGAGCACTGTAGTGCTTGGGTCAGTTGGGATAACCCAACTGGGCTGCTGGGGTGTGGGTAGGGAGCCAGCAGGACCTTCTAGTGGTGACCTGAGGGGCCAAGTGAGGAGGGATGACACACCTCCATTGTCCTGGCTCTTCCTATTTGTCTTCAAGACAAGGTTTCTCTGTGTAACCCGAACTGACCACAAACCCACGATCCTCCTGCTTCTCAAGTACAAAGATTCGGTCATAGTCCATCACAGCCAACAATTGTACTGGTGTGTGGTAGGGATGTAAGAGTTTGCGCTTTAGCCGAGACCTCGCAGGCTATCATCTCAGGGAGTCTGGCTCCACACCTTCCTTGCATAAAGAAAGCCAAAGCCAGCATTAATTATTCCGGCCATGCTCTATACTCTTTCTGCCATTCTGAGACCTAACTTCCACTCTCTCCTTTTCCAGGGTCTGAGGCCCACAGTGACGGAAGAAGCCTCACTCCTGTCTCTCTTTCAAATCTGCAAAGACTTCTGGAGGCACTGGCAGAAGAATCTAGAAGCTCTGCCCCCAGTGGCTCCAGGGCTGGAGACCGGGGTATTATTGCCGGGCCTGTAGACAGCCAGCATGGATGGGAGCATCCTGCTCATAGCAAGTTCAGTGTGGAGGCCTTGGCAAGACCACCTCAAAGGCTAGCTGCTTCTCCGAGGTCAGGGCCTGGAGCAGGTGCAGATGGCATTTCTCTAGAGCAGTTCCAGGTAGTCCAAGTGCCCACTGTACCTCCGGCTCCTTTTCCAGAAGCCAGAGGCCAGCCAGCACCGATCCAGGATGCCATGGAGAGTCTAACTCTGCTTCCAGGAGGTTGGGCTCTTGGAAGTCACTTTGGAGAGGTGCCCAGAGACTGAGCCTGTTGACTTCTGCCCCCAAGTGGGGAGGATATATCCCGCCCAGAGAAGCGAGGTCTTCTAGTCCTTGCCCCTCTGGGCATCTCCCCTGAGTTCTACTCCCTGCACTGGCCACTTCTGGAGGTTCAGGCCATTCCCTTGGTCTCTTTCCCCACCACATTCCCCCACCCCCTGCAGAGTTCCTAGGGATAGAGAGGCCCCCAAGGTCTGTCTGTTCTTGACTTGAGCCCTAGCCCTGGGAGATGCTGGGGATGGAGACAGGATCCTGGTAGTCGTGGGCAAGAGCAAGGTTCCAGCCCTGAAGGGCCTCTGGGAATTCTACAGCTGAGGACTAGCTCCCAGCATGGACTCAAGTGTTGCCTCGGGCATGGTCTCAGCAGGAAGCCCTGTGATTGGGACCATGAATGTCCTCTTGCCCATTATTCCTGGTTCTAAGGATGTCCTGAAGCCCTGGGATCCAGCCCTGGTCTCCAGGAGGCAGAGTCCAGTTTGTTCTCTGGCTAAGCTGGACTAGCAAGAGGTGGCTCCTTACCAGGTCTGCATGATGGAAACCTTGGCAAGGCCACCAGTCGCTGAACAGCAGACTTGAACCTTAGTCCCACATCAGATCACCGTTGCTGCTGCTGCGCCCACAAGGGGCTCAGTAGAAGACACTGTGGGTGGGGGTGTCACACCACTTGTCCTTCAGCCATGCCCCACTCCTCCTTGGTCTTCTGTGAGATTTCTTCTAGGAACAAAAAGTATGTAGGTACCAGGGTCTGGGCCGGGAGCTCCCATTCTCTAGGAGACTGTTGGGAGTTCAGGGAAGCCCTGCTTTGGGATGGGAGAGGAACTCGTGGGGAAGGGAGCCTCATCCATATGGGAGAAGGCAGAAATAAAGCTGGATGTTTGCTTCATGCAATGTGTTTTGCTGATTGTGTGCACAAGGAGGGCCTTTAGCTGGGTGGCGGTGGCGGCGCAGGTGCAGCACGCCTTTAATCCCAGCACTGGGGAGGCAGAGGCAGGCAGATCTGTGAGTTCGAGGTCAGCCTGGTCTCCAAAGTGAGTTCCAGGAAAGGCACAAAGCTACACAGAAACCCTGTCTCGAAAAACAAAAAACAAAAAAGTATTGTATTAAAAAAATCTAAGGGTCTTTCACCCCAAGTGCCCATGAAGGCTCCCAGGGAGTCACACTCCACTCTTGAGGGCCAGCCTTCCAGAGGCATGTAGACTGGCTCAAGGTGACAGGACAGGTAGCAGAGACAAAGAGCAGTTTGGTGTCCCGAAGGTTGGCCTTTGCCATCTTCCTGGGGATTGCCTCAGGGTCCATGAAGACTCAGTCTAGCTTAGACTTCAGAACTGAGTCTGGTTCCCGAGACTGAGTCACAGGGCCAGTGCTGGGTGTCAGTCTCAGGAAAGGATCATGCCAGGGGATGCACTCGCTCCTTGATCTTGGATATGGGAGGTGGTACGGTCTGGCTGAGATGTTAGTAAACTGGGGCCCTGCAGTGTTTCTCAGAAGGGCAGCAGCCCCAGTGGGAGATTAGAGACAGAAGCATCAAAATTAAGGCTGCCTTGAGACATTAAGCGTCCAAACCAGGCATATGGCACTGGGTTAGGGCTCCCAGGGGCCTCACCAGACCAGGGGAGGGGAATCTACTTTAGACTGAGACCCCATCCCCAAGGCTGTCATGAGCCTAAGTTGTAGCTCTTGATCTCCAAATCCAGTTTCAGAAGATTAGGTTAAGTGAATCTGGTGGCTCCTCTCTTGGGAGGATGGCCAGGGACAAAGTTGTCCTGTTGCATCCTCCCCACAGGAAGCCACATGTCCCTGTGAGAGCCTGGTCTCCATGCCAGCTCTGAGTAATGGCATGTTCCACAAGCTCCATTCTGCAGAGTGCCTGGTGGTCCAGGCCTTGAAGCTCATCAGCCTGGAGGCTGATCACAGAGGCTTAGCCAGCTCCCCAAACTCCAATAACACAGCTATGTAGTGTTGCTCACTGCTGGGTTCATTTATTCAACAGGCAACTTAGAATGCCCATTAGGTGCCAGGTAGGCTCTACTATGGGCACCAGGGATACCATGAACAAGGTAGGGAGAGGAATGGATAATTTGCCAATAGGTAGACGTCTTGAATTGATAAATGACAGGGATTGGAGGACACTTGCAGGCTGATGGTTAGGAAGAGCCCCTGTAAGAATGCATGCACAGGCCTGGGGTTACCTGTGAAAATGCTATGATAGAGTCACCAGTGCAAAGGTCCTGGGGCAGGAAGAAGCAAGGAGTTTCTGGCCAGCATATTAAGTAGGGCGAGGCAGGCAGGGATAGATCAGGCAGAGACAGGGCAGGGTTTTCTTCCAAGAACAGCCTGGAGTAACAAAATGTAACTTAAGGCTTTCTAGATGTTCCATGGGAAACAGATTGGAAGCCAAGAGACCTGGCCATGGTAGTCGCGAAAGTGAGAGTGAAGGGGGCTGTGGAGTTGGACAAAAGTGGGTGCCTTGGGCATATTTTGGGGTTTGAGGCAGCAGGAATGGGGGGGGGGGAAGCCAGGTGAACAGCAACCTTGAAAGCTGGACCCAGGGAGAGGTAGGGCTGGGGGAAGTGGATGTGTTAGGTCTGGGTCACCCGTATCACATGGGTGCGTCAATGAAGGGGTAGGCACAAAGGTCGTGGGGCTCAGGGGGAGAGCAGGATAGGAGATGTGTCCTAGTATCTAGGGGGTGCCATCCCTGGGTGGAACTCCTGTAGAATTGAGATGCAGGGGAGGAGGGATTCTGGGCCTGGACAGTGTGTTGTGTGTGAAGTCTGTGGTTCTGGAGCTCAGCACCACCAGCCCCTGTCACCTGCTGGCCCTTTGCTGTGGAGGCCGACCGACCTCTCCATGCTAGACGTCAGCAGGGACCTCACGTCTGTGCTGTGACTTTCACAGGCGTCTCAAGGCGTTGCCAAATGGTCCATGTGGGGTGGACAGGACACAGTCACTGAGCTCCTCTGAGGTAGACTTTGAGAGGACAGGACGCTGAGGAGGGATGGCACCGTGAAGTATGGCAAGGTTAGGGGGGCGGTCCACGTTCCTAGCCTACTGAGAAAGAGGACACAGGAAGGGGTCAGGTATTGGTAAATCACAGGAGTGGGCTCTGGAGGGCAGGCTGCAGATGCATCCCCGAGAGTCAACATGAGCATGTGGGGGGGACCAGGGGGATAGCCTGAGGGTAGTGAGGGGCAGGAAGGCTGTCTGAGAGAGGGGCAGTGACTGGGAACAGTGTGAGAGAGCGGCTGGGGGAATGGAGTCTGGGGGAGGTTGACCACACAGAGTGTTCTGGAAATAAGGTCTCTTGGGGAGGAGCCTATGTAGCTCAACAAGGGGGTGGGATCAGTCCCAGGGGGATCTTTAGGTCAGGAAGGGCAGTGCTAGAAGCTGCTAGGCTCCACCCAGGAGACTCAGTGCCACCCCCTCAGCTCTCAGATGTCACACATCTGCCTAGGTTCCCATGGCCAGGTGGGTACAGTCATCTTGCCCTTCTTTGAAAAAAGATGTCACTTGCATGCAAAATCACCTTTCCCCTGTAGTCTGTCTTTCCAAGAATATGACTCCGGGGCACCACAGGCACAATGGGTCTGAGCACATTTATGTGTCTGCCATGCACTGATAGGCTCCCACCATCCCACACCAACCAACAACCACGGCCAGTATCAGCAACAAGGAGGAGATGTCCTTCTGATGGAGGTGGGGGTGTGATTCAACAAATCCTTGGACCACAGCTGAGTGTGAAAGTGTGCACAGAGCTTGAAGGGTGAGCTGGGCCTACTGAGGAAGGGTGGGTCTCTGGCTGAACAGAGCCCTGGAAAGGACTGGTGGCAGTCAGCCTGGGGAATTCCCTGGTGCTGGGACAAGTGCCTACTGTCCTCCTAGCTGTAGGGTGGGAGAGCATCTTTCCATGGTGGGGCTATTTTGGGCTGATGCCTGACTGGTCAGTAAGTGCCCAGCATGGCCTGACACTTGGTAGACTTAGATTTGCCCCTTCAGAGAAGAACCAGGTGAATGTTCTTTAGTGGGAATGGGTAAGGTGGGGTTGTTGTTCCTGCAGCATCCAGGAGACCTGGCCCTTTAAGGATAACGGACCATTAAACATCCCATCTGATGCCGATAGTGGTCTGGGAAGTCTTCTCTCTGTGACTGGAGTGTGGCTGGAGATTGTGGAAAGGCGGGTCATTCATGTCTCTTCCGGACTAGCAGGAATTTGCCTCAGTGACTATTTCCCAAGCTTCTATGGCTACCCTCAGCCCTTTCTCAGTGAAGGGGCTACCAGGACCTTTTCATCCCCTGTGGTTGTAGGCTGAAGCCCAATCCAACATGATAGGAAGGGTGTATCAGTCAGACCTGTCTCAAGAGTGCAGTCTCAAAGGGGCAGGTAAAACTGGCCGTCCCTTTGAGCCTGCCCTACATGTTACCACCCTTTCTGGTTGTGGCAGTCCCACATATCTGGATATCTGGGTGTCAGGGCAGCCTGAGATGAGGAGGCATTGCTCAAAGTGCCCCCATGTGGCTGGGCATGGTGGTATGTCTGAGCCTG